GCAGTCTCGGTGGCTGGCAATGTGTGGCCCTCCACAGTTTGCACACTTATATGTTGTTGACTTGCACACATCTTTAGAATGATTCCCGGCACAGAGCAGACAACGTTCAGGGGCAGTGCACCCACTTGAAAGGTGTCTATGTTGCTGGCACCTGTATCATCTGAGAGGTGGTGGGTTGAAATCTCTCACTCTGTACAAAATAAAACCGAAAATGGCTTTTTCTGGTATTTGTTTGCCTTCAAAGTCCAGCTTGAGGACTAAGGAGTCTTCTTTTGATGCTCCAGAAAATTTTGGGAGTCTGAAGATCCTGATTATCTTACTAGCTTGTTTTTGCATGTTCAAAAGGTCATCGAGGTCAACATCATGCCCAACAGGGCCAATGACTCCAGAGCAGGTGTTTTCTAAATCAGATGATGGTCTATAGCATTGAACTTGCCATTGTCCGAAATTCGTGGTAGATAGTAAGGTTTTCATTGCCTCTTCTTCATTGGGATTGAATTCCACGGCTACAATGTTGATCCGCACGTCTTTGACAGAAGAATCTTGAATTATTTTGTTCAATTCTTTAGCAACCAAGACTGGGTTTAGGGAAAGTTTATTTGCATACAAAGATGTTTGCTTGATCAGTACTGTGTTTTGATTTCCAGTTGTCTGAGAGGTTAAATTTGAGGGAAAGGCTTTAAGGTGCTTATTATTTGAGAATGGTTCAACTGGTTTTGGACTGATTCCTGTTAAGGGGCTGAATGAATTCATTGAATTGTCTAGTTCTTCTTCTGATTCCATGCTCTTCTGTCGTTTGTGTCCACTCAAGTTCTGGGGTTTTGTCACCTGATGTGTTTCTGTGCCAGCTCTAGCAGAAAAGTTGTAACCATTAAGTGCATTTGAAGACTGTTCATTCATTTACATGTCATCTAGCAACAAGCTAGGTGGCGGGATCACATGAGAACTTGAGGTACCTTGTGTTGGCGTTTCTGGGATTATGTCCTCTTCATCATCATCAGGCATGTCGGCTGTCAGGATCAGATCCCAGCATGGTGCTGGTATTATGGTATCAGGTATCTTGATGCAGAGTTGCAGACGAAATTTCTTACAGAAAAACACAGAAGAAACAACAATGGTCATCCAATACTTACCGTCAACCGGGGCTACTCGGGACAGATTTGAATGATTAGTTTTAAATAACAGTTAATAACTTCTTACGATGAAACATTTTATAAACAAGTTTAGTCTCATTTTATAGCTGATTGGCAGGGCTATCGAATGACGTTGTCAAAAAAATTCCATATGCTATTCCTAAGGTGCCAGACGCCATAGTGGCAAAGCAGAGAGTTTTTTAGACTCTCCTTCAAGTTCATTTTCGAGTCCTATATGTAGACCAGTCAAGTATCCTGGATACCAGCATTATCATACTTGAGAAATTGGTTAAAATCTTGAGTAAATGAGAAAATTAAAAATGAACTGATTCTAAAAAAGCTCTGGTTTGTCAGTTGTCACTATGCAAGACGCAAAATAGAGATTGTCATTTGTCCCAAGTAGCCCCGTAAAAGCCCCCGTTGGTTGGGGCTACTCGGGACAAGATGCCAGATACTCCAATATGTGTAGTCTTGCCGCTCTAATTTTCTTAGGTCTATTTAGTGAAGGAACTCCACCCCCTGCCCCCATTTAAAGCCAGGCCATGTGTGTCAATATTGACGTACAAGGATCGCAGTGGTATCGTTGAAAAGCTCAGAATGTCAGCTTTAAGATGAGACTAAGCACGTAACTGCAGCACAACTCAAGTAGAAACTATATTCAAAGATTTCAGCAGCTAATTACTTTATATCTAATTAGTTAAAGAACTCTCCCATCTGCTTCCCTAAGTTCCCTTTAAAGAGACGTCATGAACGTAAATATTGGCGTACAGCAATGGCAGTGGTACCATTGAAAAGAGCAGAATTCCAGCTTTCAGATGAGCACAAAAACCGGAAAACGCCAAAATTGAAAATTTTAGGCGAGACGGTCCCCTTAAATAATAAAAAGGCTTAATACAGCACACAAAAATACAATAATGATTGAATCAATAATAATGACAGAACAGAGCCAGTTTTTGCTACCTGTTGATCTAATTTCTAGCTGGCTCACAAACCTCCTCGCTACTCCTACCTAGTACCTACTGCCTCTTCCAGTGACGAGAAGAGGAGGGGGGAGGGGCGAGAGAGCAAGCCGGGTTCTTGAACACTTAGCTAATATACTCGTGGTATAAACTATAAAGAAAAGTGCAATACAAAATCAAGTTAGTGAATGAATAACCGTAATAGCTTACAATATTATGTTTAAGCGCGAAAGACATAATTACGTTGATCACGATTCACAGAGCACAATCTGAAGATGCTTGCCGTATGAACGCCGCGCTTTCTCTCCAAAAAAAAAACCCGTGCAGCTGTCAGTAGTTCGGCTCCTGTCAGTAGATCTTACTAAATCACGGATAACGAACTTGTGAACATTTCACTTTAATTAACCTTCGTAAACAAATATAAAGTTTGTTTTTGCGAACCAAAAAAAATAAATTCTTTTGGATTGCTTGTCTAGTTTGCAACTATGTGTTAAACTTGCCACTGTAAATGCCGAGATGCTATAAGAGCGCCGTTCAAACTCTATGCATTTCGTTTCCTGATTATAACAAGATGTAAAATTTAGACGTCTCGGACGTCAATTTAAGAATTATGAGGCACCGTAAAACAGAGGTTTCTTGTAATCAACTTAAAAACAAAAATTGAAATCAAATACCATAAGAATAGGAGCAATTTATTTTACACGCAATTAATGTTTTTATTTTTTCAGTAGCAGAAATCATCGTGCAGAATAATGAATGAGCATCATCACAATGAACATACCCAAAAATTAAAAAAAAATTACCACCGCTTGGGACTTCAAATGAAAGTCTGAAATGCAATGGAGCGTGAAAAAATTGTATCTAACATAAATTCACACTGAGTCACTCTAAGTAGGTAACGATCGCAAGTTATGCAATAGTATTCAAAATAGTAAATAATATGCGTTTAAAAATTACTTTTTAAAGACAACACTTCTGAACACTCCAGTGTCTTGGATGTTACACATGTACAATGAATTTCTAATTTGATTTTCAAATATTGAAAAGAAAAATTATTTTTTTTATATATTTTTTTAATATATCAAAATTTTGTAAATTTTCAAATTTATTTATTCTGTCAATTGATTCATGCATTTTCTCTGACTTTGCAATTGTGCAAAATTTCAGATCAATTGGACAGGTCAAATTGTGTCATATGTAGATTATAAGATTTGTAGCAGACGAAATTATTTTTCAAATTTTTTTAATGATGAAAAATTTTTTTATTTATAAAATTATTTATTCTGTCAACTGAATCATGCAGTGTCTCCAACTTTACGCATGTGTGCCAAATTTCAGATCGATTGGACAGGTAGAAGTGTGTTAAATATCGATTATGAAATTTGTAGCAGACAGACAGACAAACAAACAAGAAGTGAAGTTAAAGAGAAGTCTTTTAAGAAAGTTACTGAGCTTATTACTATAATCTTAAACTGAACACAAACCATTTCTTCTAGTTAACGCGATCAAACGATAGGAGACTTAAATATATTATACCCTAGAATAAATGAAAAATTACCGGGCATATTACTATAGTCTTGAACTGAACACAAGCAATTTCTGCTTGTGAACACGATCAAACGATAGCAGACTTAAATATATTATACCTTAGAATATAAAATAATATGCGTTTAAAAATTACTTTTTAAAGACAACACTTCTGAACAATCCAGTGTCTTGGATGTTACACATGTACAATGAATTTCTAATTTTATTTTCAAATATTGAAAAAAAAAATTATTTTTCAAATTTTTTTAAGATATCAAAATTTTGTAAATTTTCAAAATTATTTATTCTGTCAATTGATTCATGCATTGTCTCTGACTTTATGCAATTGTGCAAAATTTCAGATCAATTGGACAGGTCAAATTGTGTCATATATGGATTATAAGATTTGTAGCAGGCGAAATTATTTTTTACTTTTTTTTAATAATGAAAAAAAAATTTTAATTTATAAAATTATTTATTCTGTAAATTGATTCATGCATTGTCTCCAACTTTACGCAAGTGTGCAAAATTTCAGATCGATTGGACAGGTAGAAGTGTGTTAAATATCGATTATAAGATTTGTAGCAGACAGACAGACAAACAAACAAGAAGTGAAGTTAAAGAGAAGTCTTGTAAAAATATAACTCAGCAGCCTACTCACTGCGGTGAGTGACAGAGAGTGCATTTTCTCGTTGACGAAAACGTGAAGTCACGGACGGACAGACAGACAGACGGACATGGCGAGCACAATAGCGCTTTTTTTCCATGTATGAAAATATGCGCTAAAAATAAACATCTGTGAAAAGCCTTTAAATGCTGCTAATTATTGCGGGTCGCACTGCCCCAGCGATGCAGGCGGTGCCAGTTTTTCTATGTAGTTCCTGCCCAGAGAGCCCCACGCCAGATGAGGATTAAGATGAAGATGAGCACTCCTTCTCGAGCAGTACGATTAGAAACGTCGCTCGGTTGGGTGGCATAGGGGCATCGCTGCAGCTACCTCTTGTTACACACTTCAGGAACAAATGATCACGAATTAAGACGAGTTTTTCTTCTTAGTCTAATCTTCTTGCCATTCATTATGTTCATAGTTCAGGTAGAAACTTTCACTCAAATTCATTAATTATTAGCCGCATTGATATTTTTATAGCTACTATATATGTTCTTCGCTTCGATACTCTGCGTAATACAAGTTAAAAAAATAATATAAATAGTTGATCAAAATTTCAGAAGAATTGCAACAAAAATGCAATTCGTGTCGAGCTATGCAATTGCAACCGTAATTTTGGCACTCAAATTAGGAAGTGAAGAGTCTCAAACAGGAGCTTCGACAAGAATATTTGATGCTAGTGTTACTGTCTTGAAATTTATTCATTTCTTACAGAGTTACTGTCTTGAAATTTATTCATTTCTTACAGAGTTACTAATATAAGCCCTAGACGTTTTCGATCGTTTTTAGGCATTCACAAAGTACGTGCTTCGTCTTCGTGTTCACCAGGTAAGATACCAATAACTTACACCGATGTACCGTAATATTATAATGTTAGCACATTAATTAGACCGTGCATTAATATTGTTTAATTTACTCAATTCATGGCCCAGGCTAAGAATTTAAAGTAGTAAATTTCTAGAGGTGACGATAGGTATTTAATGAGACCTGGCCCGTTCCTCGATAATTTGTTAGTATTTGTAGCACATTCCTGGAGGGAAGAACGATCGATCACTCCTGGTGTCCTGTTAGAGGCGTAACGTTCCTCATATTTTGAGCTTGTGGGTACAGCTGGGCATCCCTTATGAATATTCTTGGGCATGCCGTGTGGGGAATGCTGGGCAGGCTACTGGGCATTCCTTGTGAATACATTCGGACATGCTAATTTGTCATACCTCGTGGGTACAGCTGAGCATGCTCCCAAGGCATGCATTGTGGGCATTACTGGATATGCTACTAAGTATTCCTAGTAGGTACTATATACTGGGCATACCTTTATGGCATGTTGGGCATTTTCGGGCAGCTACTGGGCATGCTATATCGACGTTGCAGTTGCGCAGCCGGAAGGAGATGTTGCGACGCGTGTTTTGCTTTGTCACTCCAAGAGACTGAAAAGATGATGGTTTGTGCAGCGGCTTTCTTTCTAATTTTCTCTTCGCGGTCGCAAGTGCAGGAAGTTTGCGGTGAAAGCGACAGGGGACAACCTGCAGTGGTAGCGCAGCTTGTCAACTAGAAATAGAGAAAGAAATTTTGAACAAGCAAGCTACAGGATTTAAGAGGCCAGGAATCCAAAGCATTTTTGCAATGGCGAAGAGATACTCGTATAAACGTTTTTATATCATGGTGTGTGTGCCGCTAAATTCAAATGTAGTAAATTTATCATTTCATTACACGTTTTTACCCCATACCACAGCCACACACCTACATCCTGACTGTGACGTCTGTAACAGTCACAATCACACACATACACCAGACTTTTTATTTCATATAAATTATGTATCTTAAAATACTAGGGAAAAATAAAAATAAAACTTTCGAGGCAGACTGAAAGTGAGGCTAACAAATGCTAACGTGAAATAATATTCTCTTAACATAAGGGCAACTGAAGTTACTTAAACAAGTACCTATCAAGCTGGTTTAAGCAAAATTGAAATAAAACAAATAAAAAACTTTTAAAAACACGTTTTCTTAACGGAAAAAAAAGAAAAACATTTACTCTCACATAACATTCTATGTACATAAATTTATTGTTATGTAAGAGTTAATGTTTTTCGTTTTTGTCCGTTAAGAAAACATGATTTTTAAAAGTTTATTTTATATGTTTTGTTTCATTGTTTTTAGTTTTGTAACCACCAAAAAAACGTGGTTTTTAAAAATGATTTTTTATTTATTTATTTTCTACCTTTTAAGTTAACAATTTTAACAATTGTAAAATTTAGCGACAAAAAAAAAAAAAAAACTCGATTGCAACCGAGAATTTTTATTTTTTTTTAATTAAAAATTTTTTCTTTTAAATTATTACTTCTGATGAGCAAATCTTGAATTGTTGAGCAGCATAAGCATGCATGCCAAATTTCAAGTTTCGAGGATCTTCAGAAGGGTTCTAAATTAGGTTCGAATTTTTGATGAAAGACAGAGACGAAGCGAAACTAAGAAAAACGTGGTAAAAATGAAATCACTTAGAATAATTTCACACGCTGGCATCGCTGGATGTTAATGAACTGAAGCGCACCACATATATTTTGAATATATAATTTTAATAGTTACAAAACTCTTGTATCCTGAACAGTGTCATCAGTGTCACATGACTAGACATTTTTCACATGCACTTAATGGCACAGGAGAAAGTGTATAGTAAAGCAGGCCCTATTTTCATGAGCAACTTGTATAATAACACCCAGGGTGCCGGCGAGACGGCTGGTGGCTCTTATAAAATAAGGGCTGGTGGCTCTTATAAAATACGAGCAGGTTATTCTAATTTAACAGGCAAACACCCGATAATCAAACAGCTGGCTGTTCTTTATAAATGACAAAAAGCGTTGATCCAAACAGAAGATTGCCAGATGAGCGGCAATTAAATGAGGCTCGCGGCAATTAGAAGTTGCTGGCTGCACAATTGTCGTGTTTTTAGTCTAAAGAAAAAAGCGTCATTCCAAAATTAGTATAAAAGACTCGATGGGATATTATTGGACAATTAAAATAACATTTTGCCCAAACATATTTGAAATTGGGGTCTGATGTACTAGTGAAACGAAAATATTTATGGAATAGTACAAATATGCTTCGCCATCAAAAAGATCTGTATAAAGAAGACTTCATTTTTCCTCTGAACGGAGAAAGTAGGAACTTTCCTGAGAATATTATGGGTAGCATGTGTGTGTGTGTGTAGCAGGCGGTAATAAATACCGTGGACTTGCTACCTTGTCTTGCCGAGATAAAGAACATGTGGATGTTGTCGCGGCAGTAAAGTAATAGACGCTTTCATTTGAAGAGAAACGCGCGCCCGATGAAGTACGGAGTATGTCCAAGAAATGATCACTATACTGAGTTTACTTGTTCATTGTAAAGATGATGCACAGTAACGAAATATTTCTTGTTACTTCTTGAACTTTCATCACGCGACAATACATCAACATTGCTGGGGATAACTCATTCTGATGCTTAGATTTTTTTTGCACGTCTCGCGATCGTCTCCCATCTCCATTGTTTCTCTTCTCTTGAGGTTTATAGAATTCTTTTCTACCTTAAATCTCCTAATATAAGTTAACTTTGGAACTTCATCGTTAGAATGATACGTGTTGATTTATTAGGCACTCCTAAATATTTGGCAGGAAATTGATCAAATAATGCTAAAATCAATCAACATTTAATTTTACACGCAATTCATTTGAAAAACTTTCATAATATGACTTTCCAATATATCATCGTACGCATTGGTAATATTTTGACTGTTTGATTACATTTACAATCCAACAACATGCACTCAGAGAAATGAATGGGTCATAATATACAAATAGTGACACACTTCATTACCAACAGCCTGAACAGAGAGCAAACGTAGCCTAATTAAGTTCCTTAGCCAGAAGCCAAAATGCATCAGAATGACCCACACAAGAACAAGATAATTCATACAAAAACGCACTCATATCCCAGAGTGTTCACTTACATCACAACACGCATCTCCTTTACATCTCCATCATTTTTAGCTCACAGTAACTGCTTTGTTAACTGAATTTAGCCTCCAAGAAATAGGTGACATGAAACGAGCTTACGTCTGATCGAGAATGGATTTAGGGCATGGTGCCCTGTAAGAACAGTCATGCAGAGTCAGGCATTTGTTACGTCAGGCTTTGACTATATATATTACACATAATCATTCAATGTTTTCAGGTTGTGACGCTATATATTATACATAATCATCCAATGTTGGTGGAGAAGAGAGAGATGTGGTTGGGAAAAATTATATCACTGCAAAGATTATGCGGAATTATGGCCTGGGGTCAGAGTAAGACCGATACAAATGAGAGAAAAACGGGAATGACTTGCAAGATGGGGAAGACTAAACGGGATAACAATCCTGCAATGACTACGAAGTTGTCATTCATATAAAATTTCGGACGGGTTCATCACTAAAATAATAATTACGGGTTGTGCATCACTGTATACAGGGCGATTCACGGAATATTCCTGTTTTGCATTTCACGCTAGGCAGCCAGATATAGTAGAAAAAAGGCGGAAAGTATTTCAAATGAAATGCAAGGTCATAAAGTTTTGTGTCCCGCCTAGTAAATTGCCACGATGCATTGGACAAGTGAGCAGCGTGCGTTTGCTGTCAAGACGTACTTTTCTAATGGCCGTTGCATTATCGCTACTCAACCAGTATTCCGTAATCGGTTACGTATTCATCCTTCAGGTCAGGTTCCAGATCGCAAATCGATTGCTACGTTTGTGAACACATTTAGGGCAAGTGGAAGTGTGAATGTAAGAGGGTCTGGGAGCATGCGGACTGCCACTACACCCGAAAACAGAGAGAGTTAGAGAGGCGTTTTAAGCGTTCTCCTCACCGCGTTCAGCACGTAACGCGCTGCTATTCTGGGGATTTAGAATAGCAGTGTGGTACGAATATTTCACAAAAAACTGCAATTTCATCTCGACAAGCTGTCTGTGGCACAAAAACTCAGCGAAAACGATTTTATTGCTCACCGAAATGCATGTGAAGCGCTTCTTGAAAACTTACTTGAGAAAATATTGTGCAGAGCGCCTCATCTCCTTGAAGATGACCTTCTCTAGCCTGCCCAATCCTCCGATTTGGCTTTGCATGATATTTTTATGTGGTTATCTTAAATCAGTTATTTACAATGACCGTCCAAAGACCCTACTTCATTCAAAGAGCAACATACGTCAAGCCATCCCCAATATAGCCTCAATATGCTTCAGCGAGTTTAATGGAACTTCAAAAATCGAGCAAATGAATGCATCGACAATGGAGCCGTCATTTGTCCGATGTTTTCTTCAAAACTCAGTGATACAGAAATTCAGGTAATGTTTTTTCAATAAAGTTTTGATATTGTAATGATATCGTTAGTAGTTCTTTTTTAATGAGCTTTCAATTGAGGAAGTTTTGGTGAGTCACCCTATACGTGGTTACAATACAAATTAACAGAAAAAGACCTAGAGAATAGCGCTGGTATGCCTCCATGGGCAGCTGCTGAGAATTTTCATCCAAAATATCAACTAAAAATATATTATTAAAATAAAAAAATTTCCAAATGAAAACTAAACTTATATTTTAACCAGAAGAATAAATTGTAAAAGATACATAATATATTTGTGCGTGTTGAAAATTAAGATGTGTCTGGCTTGTCACCAAACAAAGAAATTGCGAAATTTCACAGTAAGCTTGGTATAGAACCTCAAACTCACTGTTATTCGAAATGAGGTACTCAAAAATTTTTTTTCATACAATATCAGGGCGATCAGATGTATTCAATATCTTCAGTTGAAATAAC